AAGTGGGCCATGCCACTAGCTCTAACTTTAACACTGGAGTTACTGATTTTAACATTTAAATGTAGGTACTGCACATATTTATCACCTTAATTCTTATTTATTATTTGAAAGTTACTGCTTTGGAGAAAGTCAGCTAAACAATGGTGATTATAGTGTATCAAAATCCATTGTAAGTGATTATTTTAATAACTCTGAACCAACAGGGACACGTAGACATTCAGACAAAAAACAACCTAATTATAATGACAGCACCAAAGTGAAGCTGTGACAGTTACAAAACCAATTTAAAAGTTTCTTGACAGCCATGGCTAAAAGCTTTGTTTGGATCTTTCAGTAATAACAGTTTACTTAAGACATAAATCCACAGTTAAGGAAAATAGAAAAAGAAAGTTGTGGCTTTTCTGCCATGCAGATGAAATGGAAATCAGCAGAAATGTTTTTAATAGAACATTATGCTGAAAGGAGTATAGAAAAGGAATAATAGTTTTGGAATTTAACTCTCACAATGCAAGAAAGACTAAATAACAATAAAAATTTTAATGCGCATAGAAACGTGCCAGATAATAATTTGCCTATCTGTGTGATGAAGGTCAATCATTCCTGCAAGTAAATTGATGTGCATATAAACATGTTGATTGGCAGCTCTAGAATTTGATTTTGTATTACCTGTAAAATAAAGTCAAAGGCAAATGAATATGCATCAATAGCCACGGTGACAGGAAGCCTTAATAAAAATCTACTTTCCCAATGTCACTGGCATGTCTCAAATTATTAGATCCTTGTCAATGTTTCTTACCTCACTAGATTCTGGGCTTTGATATGCCACATAATTAATTCTTCGACCTCGGGTAATTAATTTCTCATTCCTGAACAGAAAAAATGCTTGATTCACAAAATTGCATTCCTTTTTTCTGTAAACCTTTGTAGAATATTTGTAAGTGTAATCACCATTCGAAGCCCTTTACAAATATTGACTCGTTTAAAATTAGTAACAACTCTTTGGAGTAGGTACTATTTTCTCCACTTTATCAATGAGAAAACAGAGGTTTAAGTAACTTCCCTGGGGCCACAGTGCCAGTAAGTGGTGGAGTCTCAGCTTCAGGCTGTTTGGCCCAGAGCCCATACTGTAGGATAAGGACGACTCCATGAAACACATACATAGAGTCATAGAGACATTGGCAGTGCTCAGAGGAGACAATTCTTGTTCTCTTACCCTATTTTAAGGCTGTACTTTAGCTAGGCTCTTTGAGTTGCAAGGACTAAAGGATTCTCAGGTCAGATCAGATAGTAAGGGCATATGTTCATAAATACCCAGAAGAAATGAAACTCAGAAAGAGGATGTGTGGTGGCACTAGTCCCTGGGCAGATGTGGCTCAGCGGTGTGTTGTTTGCACTCAGTTCCTTCCCATAGGTCTGCTTCTGTCTCCTCTTTCTGCTGCCCAGGGCTTTCAGCCTCCACTCTCTCCGTGTAAGTATTCTCTACCCCACAGTGGGCAGTGGGCCCCAGAATGGACTTTAAATAGACTAGGGTAAGAGCCTGATTCTGTTGTGTACTTGCTGTGTGACCTTGGAAAAATGACTTAGTCTCTCTGAACTGTGTGAAATGTGAGTAACATATCTCACCATATAGAGCTATGGTGGATATTAAAGTAGATAAAACAAATAAAATATGAATAATATGGATTATGACCAAGTGGGATTTATCCCTGGGATACAACGATGATTCAGCATATGGAAATAAATCAATGTGATACAGCCTATCAACAGAATGAAGGATAAAAACTATATGATCATTTCAATTCATACTAAAAAAGCATTTGGCAAAATTCTACATCTCTTCGTGGTAAAACCCGTCAACAAAACTGGGGATAGAAAAAACATGTCAACATAATAAAAGCCGTATATGACAGACCCACAGCTAGTATCATACTGAATGGGGAAAAACTGAAAGCCTTCCCTCTAAGATCTGGAACGTGACAAGGATGCCCACTATCACCTCTGTTATTCAACATAGTACTGGAAGTCCTAGCTAGAAAAATAGAACAAGAGAAAGATATAAAGGGCATCCAAATTGGAAAGGAAGAAGTCAAATTATCCTTGTTTGCAGATGACACGATCTTACATTTGGAAAAACCTAAAGACTCCACAAGGAAACTATTAGAACTGATGAACAAATTCAGTAATGTTGCAGGATACAAAATCGACATACAAAAATTAGTAGCATTTCTATAAGCCAACAGCAAACAATGTTAAAAAGAAATCAAGAAAGTAATCCCATTTATGGTAGCTACAAATAAAATAAAATTCCTTGCAATTAACAAAAAAATTGAAAGATCTCTATAATGAACACTATAAAACAATGATGAAAGAAATCAAAGAGGACACCAAAAATGGAAAAATATTCCATGTTCATGGATTGGAAGAATCAATATTGTTAAAATGTTCATACTACCCAAAGCAGTCTACAGATGCAATTAAATCCTTATCAAAATACCAATGATATTCTTCACAGAAATAGAAAAAAAATTCTAAAATTATATGAAACCACAGAAGAGCCAAAGCTATCCTAAGCAAAATGAACAAAGCTGGGGGAATCACATGACCTGACTTCAATTTATAATTCAAAGCTATAATAACCAAAACGCCATGGTACTGCCATAAAAACCGACACAGAGACCAATGTAACAGAAGAGAGAACCCAGAAAGAAATCTACACACCTACAGTGAACTCCTTTTTAACAAACATGCCAAGAACATACACTGGGGAAAAGACAGTTTCTTCAAAAAATGGCCCTGGACATCCATATGCAGAAGAATGAAACTAAACCCCTATCTCTGTCAATCAAATCAAAATGGATTAAAGGCTTAAAGCTAAGACCTCAAACTATGAAATTACTATAAGAAAACACTGGGGAAAATCTCCAGGACATTGGACTGGGCAAGGATTTTATGAGTAATACCCCCATAAGCGCAGGCAACCAAAGCAAAAATGGACAAATGGGATTACATCGAGGTACAAAGCTTCTGCATAGCAAAAAATACAATTAACCAAGTGAAGAGGCAACACACAGAATTCGAGAAAATATTTGCAAATTGCCGCTCTGACAAAGTATTAATAACCAGAATATATAAGGACCTCAAACAACTCTATAGGAAAAATCTAATAATCTGATCAAAAGATGGGCAAAAGATTTGAACAGACATTTCTCAAAAGAAGGCATGCAAATGACACAAACAGGCATATGAAAAGGTGATCAACATCACTGATCATCAGAGAAATGCAAATGAAAACTACAATAAGACACCGTGTCACCCCACTTAAAATGGTTTATATATTCACAAGTCAGGCAATAATAAATACTAGTGAGGATGCAGAGAAAAGGGAACGCTTGTACGCTGTTGGTGGGAATGTAAAGTAGCACAACCACTATGGAGAACAGTTTGAAGGTTCCTCAAAAAACTAAAAATTGAGCTGCTGTAATTTCGCAATCCCACTGCTGGGCATACACCCAAGGAAATAAGTATATCTAAGAGAAATCTTCACTCCCATGTTTGCTGCAGCACTGTTTACAATAGCCAAGATTTGGAAGCAACCTAAGTGTCCATCAACAGATGAATGGATGAAGAAAATACAGTACATATGCATAATGGAGTACTATTCAACCATAATAAAGAACGAGATCCAGTCATTTGTAACAACATGGATGGAACTGGAGGTCATTATGTTAAGCAAAGTAAGCCAGGCACAGAAAGACACACATCACATGTTCTCACTTATTTGTGGGATCACAAAATCAACGTCATCAAACTCATGGACATAGAGAGTAGAGGATGGTTGCCAGAGGCTGGGATGGGTACTCGGGGGTGGGGGGGAAGTAGGGAGGTTTAATGGGAACAAAGAAAAGTAGAAAGAATAAACAAGACCTACTATTTGATAGCACAATAGGGTGACTGCAGTCAATAATAATAATTGTACATTTTAAAATAGCTTAAAGAGTGTAATGTAATTGTTTGTAACTCAAAGGATACATCATTCTCCATGATGTGCTTATTCCACATTGCATGTCTGTATCAAAATATCTGATGTACTCCATAAAAAAATATATATATACACATATATATACACACACACACATACACACACACACACACACACACACTTACTGTGTACCCACAAATATTTTAATGTGAATAATATGGCCTGGAACATAGTAGCCATTTAATATGTGATGACCTTTAAAATAATACTCATTAGTTTTTAATGTTTAATTATCTCTCTCTTAACGTAGGCAGTAGACAGACTTGGACCAGACTTGGGTTCCAGTATTGAGTCTGTCTTCAATCCCTGTGTGACAGTGGGAAAGTTATTTAGCTTCTTTGAGCCTCAGTTTCCTTATTAGAATAGGTTCCTAGGGCTGTTATGAGTTAATTTATGTAAAGCAGCTAGAAAAACTCCACGTAGATAGCAAGTACAATGTAGATGTCAGTTACTAGAAGTTGTAGTAAAATTTTCAACAAATATTTTTGGAAGTAATAAGTAAAAAAGTTTCTCCTACTTCTCCCGTTGTATAATAATCATCTCTAAAATGTTTTTATCCACAGTATTCTCCCTTAACACAGAATAAAGTAATACTTGTTTTGTGTTACTAGCTTTTTAAAAGCCATTTATCCATACAGTCAGAATTAAGGATAAATACTACCCAATCAACCGATTAAAAAATTAAGATGCAAGCTATACACAAATTAAGTGATACATATTTTCCATGTTTAGTCAAAAGTCTCTGAAACCATCTTCCTAGTCATTGTTTAGCTGCCTGAAAGGAAGGTTCTCTTGCCCGCCCAGTTCAGCAGTACGGCACGTGGATGGCTTTATCTTGGGAGTTCTGGTTTGCAGAGCAGCACATCACCAACGTGCTGTCAGCCAAGGCCTAGGCCCGTCCATTACATTTAATCATGAGGTTTATTTCTTTGTTAAGAGTCTGTCTGTTTTACCCCCTCAGAAAATGATGCGATCATCGGTTTTCCACATGTTCATCCTGAGCATGGTGACCGTCGACGTGATCGTGGCGGCTAGCAACTACTACAAAGGAGAGAACTTCAGGAGGCAGTACGACGAGTTCTACCTGGCGGAGGTAAGCAGCTCTGCGCCGGGAAGATCGCTGGGCAGCGAGCAGGTGAACCGCGGACAGTGCCTCTTAGAGATGCGAAAGTGAAGTGTAGCCTGTTCATTACTTGACTTTCACCCAAGCTGAATCATTGTCTGCTTCTTAAGTGGTTCCTCTGGTCATGGTGTGGCTTGATGCATTTCCTGTTGCTGTGGGCCTGAGTCATTTTCCTCACAGTATTTCACGTTGCCAAGGTAACCCTTTTTCCCTGGGCCTTTCTCTAGGATCTTGCTGTTTTCGTATCCACCTCTTATTATCTCTCCCTTTCTCAGCTTACATTAGTTTGTTTTCTACTAAGTACAAGCAGGCACAGGTTCAGAAGATCATAAACAAGCAGGTCAGCTCAACAATACCTAGAAGGGGGCTGGAAGGAAATATAGAGAGATGATAATGATAATTACTGCTCTAGAAATGGGTGTTACAACCTACATTAAAGACATCAATTAAAGGTAGGTTTCATGATTAAATAAGTAAGCATCTCCCTAGCACTCTACAGATCATATTAGAGTTTTGGAATAGTACTTCCTGTTGATAAAGTAATTTAGTTAATACCTGATTCTTAAAATATTTTTTTATTTCTTTCAATAAGCATTTTGCATTTATATTAAAACGTTTTAATAATTTTCCAAGATCTTTGTTTTTTTCAATGTAAAAGTTACCTAAACTATATCTCAGAATTCAATGGTTACATATTTATGAAAAAATTGATTGACAACATAGCAACCCATTCATCGTGTGAGTGAGGTATACATATACAGTTGTACAATGCTTCAATAAATCCAACCTATGAAAAAGTAAACTGAAAAAGCAGAAAAGTCACAATTTGATTATTTCATATTACCAAAGCATTTTTCACATAAAAAAATCAATTTGTCATATAATTAAGTGTTATTAGATTCCTAGAATTCTCTCAGTACATTTAAAAACATATTTGGTTAATAAAAGTTTAGTCTACCCACACACAAACTTTTCTGAAAAAGAACTGATTGCATGTACCTATTGAGTGTAGACATCTATGTGGATATCAAGAAACTTGTAAGTAGTCACTTCTGAGTTCTCCTCTTCATGGAAGTGTATCTCCTGAAACAAAAACTTTTACTGGCCTACAGTCTCTGTGATGCAACATTGGCCCAATAGCTACCTGGTATATGGAGCTTACAATCTAGCAAAAAAAAAAAAAAAAAGTAAACCATAAGAGTTTTGTGCTATGGAGAACTAATGACAGGGGCTGATGAAGAAATTATATCCAGCCCAGCCTCTGAAAAATAGGTATAATTTTGCTGAAAATCAAGCACACAATGAATGGATTGTCATTAAAAGCAGAGAGGTCAGGTATGGTGGCTCACGCCTGTAATCCCAGCACTTTGGGAGGCCTAGGCGGGTGGATTACAAGGTCAGGAGTTCGGGACCAGCCTGGCCAACATGGTGAAACCCCATCTCTACTAAAAATACAAAAAATTAGCCACATGTAGTGTTGGGCGCCTGTAATCCCGGCTACTCTGGAGGCTGAGGCAGGAGAATCACTTGAACCTGGGAGGCGGTGGTTGCAGTGAGCCGATATCACACCACTGAATTCCAGCCCGGCCAACAGAGTGAGACTCCATCTCAAAAAAAAAAAAAATGCAGAGAGAAACCTGGACTGATACTAATATTTGCAGGTAAATTTCTAACACAGGGAAAGAACAATGAAGGAAGCCTCATCAAGTTATTTCTTTTTTTCCCGGGAAGTCAGAAGCAAGGTCTGCATCTGGCCAGATAATAAGATAATGCAGTGGAAAGCTGGAGAAGAAAGGGGAGAGGGAAGAGGTGCCTGGGGATAGGCAAAAAAATAACAATACAGCAAATGCAATATTAAAGATCCATTTAGGACTACAAATTTATAGTGACACCAAGACAGATCTGTAACTTTTTAGCCCTGTATAAGAAGAGGGAAAAGCAACATTTAAATCAATCCAGCTTTAGGGTTTTTTTTTTCCAGGCTGGGGGAACTGAGAAACAAGGGGAAAAGATGCATTGCTGGCAATGATGGCAATGATGACCCTGTGGTCTCTGTTGGATGTGGATTGGAGGAGTGAAGGTAAAGGATCAATGGTCTCTATATGGTTAAAGAACAGGTACCACCAAAGTGATGGAATAATAGAACTAGAAAAGGTTGTGATCAGAGAGTGGAGTCCAGGATTTTACCATTCCGTAGTAATTCTGAGTAATGAAATACAAAATCTAGGGCGTCACATGGATGTCAGTGACTTAAACACATTGATGGAGTCAAGGAAGAAACGGAAAGGACTGTTGAAGCTAAGGCACTGGCTGAGTCTTCACATGGACACTGAAGTCACTCAGAGCGAGGCCAGTTCTTGGAGAGAAGAGTGGAGTCAGGGAGCAAAGTCACGGGGAATGAGCAAGTGACTGATGAACAGATTGACAGAAGGACAGAAGGCAACACAGGGAGAGTGGGTGCCTTCTGTCCTTCTGTTGGTGAATTCATACATTCCATGAGATATGTTTTAACCTCATGGAATACATTGCAAAGGAGTATCGAGGAGTAATGGTTGGGGCACATCTTCCTTGTCCACATATTCTACTAGAAAGGGCTGGAAAGGGCTGCAGGGGCAACTCATGCATTTGGGAGAGAATCAGTTGAGGCACAGACAGAAAGTAGATTCTGGGAACAAAGACTGAGAATGTAGAGGAAATTATTTAACATAGAAGAGACTCAAAGATTACTTCAAGGCTCTGAGGAGGGAGAGGTGGGAAGATCGATGAGATGGAAGACTGATACAAGAGTAATGGCACCAGTAGGTAAAGAGCTGCTGACAAAAATGCCAGAGAACAAAAGCAAAAATGACCACAAGAGATTACAATTATGCTAATCTCTCTGGGAGGAGGAATCTGCATCTGCTCCTAAGGGAATCCTGACATTAGAGATTACGATAACATTGCTTTTGTGATCTAGCCCAGGGTAGGCAGGTGGTCACACTAAACCAATCCTGGAGCATAAGTGAAGAGGCCCTCCACACTGGCAACAGCAAGGGATGGAATTCTTTAGTAAATTTTATCTAACATTTTCACATACAAAATTGATCCTTTCCTAATGTATTTATGTATGGTAGATGATTTATCCTCATACTGTAAGAAATTCCAACAAAATGTCAAATAATTGAATACTGAAGAGTTGACTGGTTATTATTCAAGTGTATTGTAGAGTCTAGGAGTAGTTGGTAAATCCTTGTCTTTTTTCTCTTTTATGTAATAGTAAAACTAAAAACAACCCCAACAACAGACAGACAGGACTGGATGGTGGAATTCAGTGTATATTATGTGTCCAATAATTGTTGTCCCTGACAATAATAAGAAGAAAAGGGGTGGGAGGAAACTTTGAGCGGTGGTGGATATGTCAATGGCATTGATGGTAATAGTTTCACGGGGGTACGCTTATTCCCAAATTTATCACACTGGTTTACGTGAATGCAGCTTTTTACATGTCATTCATTCTTAACAAAGTGGCAAATCAGTTAACCAGCTAACAACTAACTCTTTGAAATCCTGGAAAAAATAAATAAATAAATAAACTAGGTAGTGGTGGTTTTGTTCACTTAAACAACCAGATAGACCCCATCAGTTTACTCTTGAACTACTTAAGCATTCTGAATTTGTTCCACTCTAGGTTTTGGGGGTTTTGGTGGTTTTTTTGTTGTTGTTTCCTCCTCCTTCCTCCTCCTCCTCCTCTTCCTCTTCCTCTTCCTCCTCCTCCTCCCCTCCTCCTCCTCCTCCCCCTC